GGCCTGACGCGCGGGGTGAGTTGCGCGAGCGGCGGCGAGGCCTCGGAAAGGATACTTGTTGCACGGTTCTCTGGATGGTGGTGTCTGGGGACTGGGACTCCTTCAGCAGCTGCAGGATTTGCTGAAGCCCTTGCTCGTCAGGTTTCCACTCATACTCCATCTTGGTTTGCTGCAAATAAAGCCAGACACAGGAAGAGACGGAGCAAATGTTACTCCCCGTGCACAGGCCCGAAGGCTTCCCGCGCCGAGCAACCCCCTTCTCCCCGCTAGAACGACCCCTGTCCTCCCCAGAAGCCTCAGACCTGCCTGGGGTGCCCCGAAGGAAGCCTCGGACGGTGAAACCCAGCGAAACTGCTCCTAGCAGCTTGGCCGCCAACGTCTGCTGCTCCTGCTGCCGCGGCCGCCGAGCGCAAGGAGCCGACCAGACTGAGTCACCGCGAATTTGCAATCTGGCCCCAAGATCCGCTCACGGGAGCCCCCTGGGTCCTAGTGCCACGCAGTTTCCTCCAGCCCAGCCCAACCCAACTCAACTCTAGATCTGTCCACAAGACTTCCACCGACTTAAGGGCTAATCAAAAGTCCACAAAACCTTATCGAAACCACTGCGAAACACCTGAAGAGATCTGGTTTTGGTTATTGATTATTTTAAGTAAACGAGGTGAAGTAAGAATGATTGAAATAGGGGGAAAAGCCTGACATTACTGTTAAAGTTCAACAGTAATTAGTGAGAAACAAAAATGTTTACATTTCAATTTGATATATAAAGCACTAAATATTAATACTTAGTCCAAAATATCAATGATGTATTGCAATCACAACATACACCTCACAAAATATTAAATGCAACACTGGCAAAATGGACTGAAAAGATGTATTCTTTTATAAACATCAACTTTTGATCACTTAAGTGAAACAAATTCCATCATGAAATAACTACATTCCACAACTATGGACTTGGGGCTGAAGGAAAGACAAGAAAAATAATGTAACTTTACAAATGGATAGTGCTTAATTCTATTAACGTGTTTTCACATACATTTTCTCAAAACAACCTGGTGAGATATTATTTGCCCTCAGGTGACAACTAAAGCACAAAAAGATCTGAGCAAATTACCGGGTAATTAGTGAAGCCTGGGACAAGAACATAGGTTTGAGCTACTACCACTTGCGTCTGCTACAGTCAGTTGAAACATATCAATGACACAGTTACTTTAAAGCTACATACTTCAACAAAAACAACACAACTTAAGTATCAAGCATAAGTAATTTGTAAAAATCAAACTGAGTTTGATACAGAAGACTTTTTAACATGGCTCTACTACTACATAATGATTGACAGTTGAAACTAGTACAAGTCCCTCCCTAGAAGGAGTACCAAAAAAAAAAAAAACAAAAACAAAAACAAAACTGACCTGATTGCACCTCTCTAGGTAGCATTGTTTTTCTTTTTTATGCCTATTCCGCTCCCTTTCTTCATTTTTCTACTTAACATCTTGCAGTCTGGCTCTGTTCATCACCTTCTACTGACTTCCTAAACAACCCAACACACCAAACTTCTTACTTAAACAAAAACAGTCATCATTTGTACATAACACTTATTAATAATACTGTACTGTTTTTATTCGTCTTCAGTCTGTGTTTGAATATAGATTCTATTCTATAATAATGGGATTGTCTTGTATATTGCCTAAATTCATATATCATTAAATATTCATGAAAATATTTTTAAAAACATAATATTATTCCACTGTATTCCTGTGCCACATTTTATTTTTATAACCATTTTGATATATACAACAAGTGTTCAAATCATAAGCATACAACTAGATAGATTTTTACAAAGTGAACACACCCATGTAGCCAATACCCAGCTCAAGATTACCAGTACCCAGAGGTCTCTCTTGTGCCCACTGCTAGTCATCACCCTTCCCAAAGGTAATCCCTATTTTAATTTCTATCACTATATCTTTCCCCCTTCCTTTTTTTCTCCTTTTTACTTCAAAGATTTTTTTAAAAAAATTACAAAACCATATTATTACAACAAATCAAACAACATGGTCGTACAAGAAAAGTTAACTGAATCCTCTCTCCAAACTTACCTCCCTAAGAGAATCAGTTTTGATGCGAGTTCTCTACACCGTTCTCTATTCTCATAGTTTTACCTTTTTTTTAAAAAAAAAAAAACATACAGTACACTACATACTACATTACATTCTCTACAACTTTTTTTTTTTATTTTACTGGTAATATAGCAGAGCCATCATTTAATGGATGCACACTGGTTCTTTAGAACTGGATAGAGCATTATTTATTATTTGTTCAACCATTCCCTGATGGGCTTCCAGGTTGCTTCTACTTTTTTCCCACTATGAAAAACAAAGCAAAAAACATTGTACCAATGTCCCTACAAGGTAGTGGAAACCCAGTGTGATTATTAGGCCAAAAAGTATGTGTATTTAAAAATTTTTAAGTTATTATCAACTTACTTTATAAAAGCAGTTATGCAATCCATACC